AAAGTTAATCAAACATGTTTTAAATAAAAAGCACATATGGACAGAAAGTGTAAACCTATTAAATGTATAAGTAAACACATTTAGTCAAATAAAGTGACAGACTAGGCCTGATCAGGTGGTATCAGCTATGCATGGGCTCCTCCATCAGGCCTGGTCCTCCTCGCTGAGGAAAGACCTTCAGTCTTCTCCAAACCAACAGACAGGACGTCCATCACACGGAGGTTTCTCTCTGAAGTCTCTGCAGCTCTCTGGACACCACGCTGTCTCAATCCATCCACACTGAATATGAGAGGGGAAAAATGAAAATAATAAATGCTTTAGACAATAAGAAATATAAAGTTGACTGTTGAGTTGCTCAGTTTTTTTAGATTGTCAATACTATTACTGTATAACTAATATCTCAGGTTAAGAGGCACCTTCAAATAAAGATTGGTCTTTAAATACATTTTGTCTTTTGAATTGTTTGTCTAAAGTCAAGGATCTAGAACTGGTACTTGTAGTTTTAATGATACAGTCTGGTTATAATGCTGTTTGGAGGAGGCCTCACAGGTAAGAGCACTAACTAGCTATCATCACATGTACCTTAGCTTAACTTAAATGTATTAAACGTATAATTAAGTGATGGCAAAATATAAATAACTAATGTCATGCAAACATATTAATATTTTGCTTGATTCCAGTGTTTAATTTAGCACATTGCATACAAACGTTAAGGGATTTTAAGATTCTGAAGTATTATGCTAAAAACTCAACTTAGATTATTATTTATAGTTTTGCTGAATAGTCTCATGTCCGCTTACCTTAGAAACGTAAAATGCGACGGCAGTGTGCAGATGGTGAGCATGTTAGCTTAGCTTGGTAGCTTCAGCTAGCTCTGGAACTTCCAGCTCGGAGGCAGCAGGTCCTGCCTCGGCTCCGCCTCTTTGTCCTTATTTGGAGCAGGCGGGAGTGGAACTCTGACGTCACTGTCGAGCCGTTAGTGGCCGACTCCGCCTACTAAGGGCTTCTCGGCAACTCTGCAGAATCCTATGGGTGAAGTCACGGACCCTACGTCCATTTATATATACAGTCTATGGCAGGGGTCGGCAACAGGCGGACCGCGGTCCGGATCCGGACCCAGACGTCGACCTATACGGACCCGGACCTATAATCAATAATAGGGGATTTCAATTTTGACGGGGCGATTCTATTTTAACCGCTGCCGACAGGGGGCGAAAGAGACGAGTGAGCGATACAGGGAGAGAAACACAGAAGAAGAGATGAGAGAGCGGCAGAGAGAAGAGGAGAGGAAAGTGAGTGAAGAGAATAATTAGCGATACAGGGAGAGAAGCGGTGAATGTGAATACATTTTGGAATACTTTTTGGAATTATTGGTGGAATCCTCATAAAATGTAATATTCATTACCAGCAGAACTGTGTGCACACTGCACAGCGCTGCAGCTTGTCTGTGAGGCCCCGCCCCCGCACGCAGATCAGAGAGAGAGAGATCTCTTTTAAAATATATTGAAACGGAGATGGTTCGATAAAATGTGCAAGATAACGTTTATGTAGCATTTCTTTATTGTCGAAATGATGACATTTCATAACGGGATCAAATCAAAGTGAATGGCCTGCTGCTGCTGAATGCATGGGGCAAGTGACTGGAAACTGTTTTAAAAGTTATTACGTCGTTTCAGATAATAAAATAAATGATAATTCATTCTATTTAGGGGCGCCTTTCAAAGCACCCAAGGACACCTGACAATTCATAACATATTCTAAGGAAAGGTTTAAGAGAGTACAAATAATGCAGTCCGGGTGATTTTTTTTATGTGGGGTGCAGATGAGAGGGAGCTGTCCAGAATGACACCAAGATGTTGTGTTTGAGTTGTGCTCTTGATAAGCCATTAAAACAGTAACATAAGTGTCTCCTGTTCACCAAAACATACCCATCTGTTATGGAAAAATAAAGTATTCTAAAAGTAATCTGAATACGTTACTTTTTTAAGACACGTAACTCTAACTGTATTCGGATTACTTTCAGAGCCATGTATTCAGTATTCAGTAACCGATTACATTTACAAAGTAACCCTCCCAACCCTGATTAAAAGTGCCAAAACGCCACTATGAGACAAAACACAAAGTGTTTGACCAAACATTCCCTCTCAAGTCAGAACTGAGGTCACAAAAAATAAGCAGTCTCAGAGCCCGATATGATCAGTCCACCAGGATCAAAATTAAAACTAAATATTGTTCCAGGGCAGGCTAACCGAGGCTAACCAATCAGCACCTGCATGTGTGTATGAGAATGGCCCTGACACCATTTCAGCCCAGATTTAAACTCCTGGCAGGACAAGCTCGAGCTCAATTCTCGCACTGAATACAAAAAAGTGAGTGAGGGACTGCAATATACGAGGGAAAGAAAGAGAAACTTTAAAGCTGTTCAATTGTTATGATGTCTAAAGACTGATATGTTCTATAATCGTCTGAAACTGTTAAGTCATGATGTGAAACGGTTAACAAAGCTATTTTATTTATTTCTCTATTTTATTTTTAAATGCAGCCCGAGAGGAACATTACACATATCCACAGTATTTACTGTATATCTGTATAGTTCAATGTTCATTGACAATACATATTGTTGTTTATGAATTGTACTTTCTTTATTTGATTGGCAGTCAGTTGTTGATTACATGCAGACGTTGATAAAGCTACAGGCTACTTCAATATATATCACACTAATTCATAAAGCAAGTTAGACATTTTGATGTTCCGGACCTTTGCATGGGGACATTTTCTCTAACTGGACCTCGTTGAATTTTAGTTGAATACCCCTGGTCTATGGTTTTAACCTTAAAATAATCCACATTTCCTCACAGGGTTTTCTTTGAAACTGGTTGAGGACAGGCCAGCTTTATGCAGAGTTATTATGGGATGTTTCCTGTTTTTCACATCAGGCCTAAGTGCTGATGTTGCCAGAGGCTTTGAGGATGAAAAATACATACACAAAGAAACCTTTTAGAGCAACAAGAAGCTGGAGGAGGATGTTTGGGAGTTTGAATGTGGCAAAATTATAAATTATAAAATATTAAAAATGTATAATATATAATGGAGAATTTAGATTTAAGTGGAAATAAGGGTGATGATGGTCAGACTGAGCAAAGAAACTATCATTATGCAGCTGTTCTTATGATCCTCTGCTGCCCTCTGCTGGAGATCAGGAGCATTTCTGTAACAACCTGTTAACATGTTGTTTTATTTATATTAAAGAGGACATATTATGCTAATTTTCAGGTTCAAATATCAAGAAGCTGACACCGAGCACATGCACAATCCTGTTATATTCACACAAATAAAACCATGCAGGGCTTTTCACAAGAATACATGTGTCTGGTGTTGAGAACAGACTGGTTTCTGCTGAATGAACACATGACATTAAAGAGTCCTCTCCTGCTGAAGTTGAGGTGTATATCAGTATGTAGTGCAGAGTTCCCGTTAGAATATTTTTTTGCCGGTCAACATGTCCGTTAAAGTTGAAATCTTCCGGACAAAATTAGATAAGTGCCGGTTAAAGGTCTTCTTTGTTATTTATTGAGCTTTAAAACAAATTGATATGATTCGACATTAAACAAACTAATTATAGTAGATTAACTACATTATTCAAAAGTGTACAGTAATTTACAAAAACGCGGGAATAATAAACGGAGCGCTCTCTCCTTCTCCTGACAGCCCGTCAGTATCATGCAGCTCGCGGATCCAGTAATGAGTGACCCGACAGTAAAACTAAACATATCTATAACTAGTTTAGGTAGTTTGAGAGGTAATTAAAATAGCTACGTGTGATTTTCTAACCTGAAGTGTGTTTTGCTCTGCTCGCCGCTGCAGGGGATCATGCAGAGCTGCGTGTCGACTCGTCAGCAGCAGCCGATCTCTCTCTCCTGTCAGATTAGACTTTACTCGCATTTATGTCCATATCGATCAGATCTAGCTAGTTCTAGCTAATGATATGACTACCTGCTTGTTAAAAGACACCTAAACAATAAGCGTCGCTATGCAACCGGATGAGGCCACAAAGTATAGCGCAGCATTATGCATTTGTTTACATGCCCACCGGAACCCCGAGGCATTACCAACAGATCAACGCACAATCAACCCATACAGGACATCTCTTTCTCCACATTAAGTGTTAGACATTAGAATTGACAATTTTTGTCTGTCACATACTCTTTTGTCTGTCACATACTATTCTTGTCTGTCACATAAGTGGCGCAACTGATGCGGTATTGCGCTAAGGGAAAATTATTTTGACCGGACATTTTGACCGGAGAGATTTAGATTTGCCGGACTTCAGCATATTTTACCGGTCATTGTCCGGTAATTACCGGCTAACGGGAACTCTGATGTAGTGTCTCTACTTTAAAGAGTCCTCTCCTGCTGATGTTCAGGTGTATATCAGTATGTAGTGTCTCTACTTTAAAGAGTCCTCTCCTGCTGATGTTCAGGTGTATATCAGTATGTAGTGTCTCTACTTTAAAGAGTCCTCTCCTGCTGATGTTCAGGTGTATATCAGTATGTAGTGTCTCTACTTTAAAGAGTTCTCTCCTGCTGATGTTCAGGTGTATATCAGTATGTAGTGTCTCTACTTTAAAGAGTCCTCTCCTGCTGATGTTCAGGTGTATATCAGTATGTAGTGTCTCTACTTTAAAGAGTCCTCTCCTGCTGATGTTCAGGTGTATATCAGTATGTTGTGTCTCTACTTTAAAGAGTCCCGTGCAGAACCATGCAGAGTGATGTACACGTAGTAATATAGAATATATATACTTTATATATAACAGCAGGAGGTGGATATGAATATACCTTAATGTATAAATGAATATGCAGTGATAACAAAAGGCAGTGTTGTTGATCAGTGGAGTCACTAGTGAAACTGTGTACTTTAAGAACACACCTGATGTTTAGAGAATGTCATATTAGGAAAAACCATACCAATAAATACATCTGCACTCTTGTAAGGCTAATATATCACTTTATTTAGTAAAGTACAAAACAGTCAAATGTACTGAAGAAAAAGCAATACTCCATTGAATTATATTAAAGAAAATACAGTAATAAAAAAGCCAGAATCCACTTTACAAAACCTTCATTATGCCCACACTGTAAGTATTAAGAATACAGTACATCTCCAACATGTCTGCCCCTGTCTCACGATCCACCTCTAGAGAGACTCACATGTTCTGCTGTACTCTCACTTTGATGCTATTAAGCCAAACAAAGCAAAAACCTGGTCAATATAAATCTTATTGTAACTCTGCTCGCTTTGACTTTGTAATATGGTTATAACAATTGTGCCATAGTTTAAAATACAGCATTAAACTATTTTTTGGGTTTGTCGACGGTGGCGTAGAGGAGGCTGGGATCAGCGGAGGCAGCAGAGGAAGAGGAGGGAGCTCTCACAGTGCTGTAGGTCACTTCACCATCTTCATCATCATCATCATGAGCCTGCAGGGAAAGAAAACTGATTATACAGAAAGGAGTTCTGAAAGTCCTGCTTTTTGCTGCCATTAAACAACTTAAAGGGGTCCTATCCTGCTGATGTTCAATATCAGTATGTAGTGTCTCTACTTTAAAGAGTCCTCTCCTGCTGATGTTCAATATCAGTATGTAGGGTCTCTACTTTAAAGAGTCCTCTCCTGCTGATGTTCAATATCAGTATGTAGGGTCTCTACTTTAAAGAGTCCTCTCCTGCTGATGTTCAATATCAGTATGTAGGGTCTCTACTTTAAAGAGTCCTCTCCTGCTGATGTTCAATATCAGTATGTAGGGTCTCTACTTTAAAGAGTCCTCTCCTGCTGATGTTCAGGTGTATATCAGTATGTAGTGTGTCTACTTTAAAGAGTCCTCTCCTGCTGATGTTCAGGTGTATATCAGTATGTAGTGTCTCTACTTTAAAGAGTCCTCTCCTGCTGATGTTCAGGTGTATATCAGTATGTAGTGTGTCTACTTTAAAGAGTCCTCTCCTGCTGATGTTCAGGTGTATATCAGTATGTAGTGTCTCTACTTTAAAGAGTCCTCTCCTGCTGATGTTCAGGTGTATCAGAGTGTGTGTGTGTGTGTGTGTGTGTGTGTGTGTGTGTGTGTGTGTGTGTGTGTGTGTGTGTGTGTGTGTGTGGGTGTGGGTGTGGGTGTGCCGCCGCCGGCTGTCAGTGGCGGAGTCGGTCACTCTGTGATCCGCTCCGTCACAACATCATCAGTGTAATCAATGAGAAATCTTACCCTGGCTTTCCTGCTGCTCTTCCTGGTGTAGCTGATGGAGGCGTAGGAAGCACCATCTTCAGGGTCAGCCTGCACAAATAAAATGTACATCTGCTATGTAACATGCAGCGTTAAAGTGACCTACTATTATTCCCATTTCATTGAATACTAGTTGCTGTATAGGTTTCATCGTATTCAACATCCATGCATTGTAATCAATGGCAACAGAGCAAAGACAATACTGCCATTATTATACCTTTAACCCTGTGGTCATTTTGAGACTGTTGTGTGTGTTGAAAAAAGTGAATAATACAATATTTAAACTCACCACGTTGTCATCGGTCTGGGTTTCATTGCCTAAATAGAATAAAAAAAGAAAGTTGGTTTTAGCTTCAACATTTAAAATCCATGTTGATCAAAAGCTTCTTGTTTATAAAGTATATGTCAAGGGGTGAACTCGGAGGCATGAACCCAAATGCACAACTCAGACTCAGACTCAGATGGTTTAAAAAATAAAGTACTTTACTGGATATTTCACAGTAACAAAATAGAGAACACAAAATCACTCTTTCGAGGAAAACTAAATACTACCATAAGGAGCTTGAAACAAAACAACAGACATGGATCAGGCTTGAAAGTACGCTGGTATGTCGAGTCATGAGAGAAGACGAACTGGCACAGGACAGGTGGAGACTAAGACAATATATACACACAAGGTAAGGGGCACAGGTGGAAACAATCAGGGCGGGGTAGACAATCACAAATGCAGGAGACGCATAGGGACGGGGAGCACAGTGACCTGAAACAAGAGGGAGAATTACTTTTCAAAATAAAACAGGAAGGCAGAAGACAAAGGGACATGACAAAGGGACATGACAAAGGGACATGACAAAAGCTCATTTAAAGTGGACCTATCATGCAAAATGCACTTTTGTACATCTTTTATACATGAATATGTGTCCCCGGTGTTCCAGGGAACTCACCAAGTGTCAGAAAACACAACCCTCTCTATTTTCCTCCATACCCAAATCTCTAAAAAAGGGGCTGCAACGGATCTGATAAAAACTGATCCAGATTTGAACACTTTACTGACGTCAGGAAAGTGGCGCGACGGCTATTGGGCCAAGTCCACCAATCAGGAGGAGACAGCCACGGCCATTGCCGTTCGAAAGTGCTGGAGACGCTGTAGTACATATGCCAGGCCTGTAGGTGGCGCTGTAGTCTGCCACAAAAGCAGCGAAGAAGACTTGGTTACCATGGTTACTATTCTGTTTATTCTCCGCTGTGGCTTTCTTTCTCCCTCCCCGAGGCAAGCGTTTGCTCCCGCTGCTTTAATTCAATGCAATCCCTCCCCGTTGAGGCAAGCACTGTAATTCTCTCCGGTTAGTCCACCAGCAGATGACAAACACCCACCTCTCCGCCTCTTCCAAGGAACGAGGGGACCGTGCGGCAGAGTTTCAGTTTCAGTTTCTTTCGCCGGTCAAGATGTCCGTTAAAGTTTAAATCTTCCGGACAAAATTAGAAAAGTGCCGGTCAAAGGTCTTCTTTGTTATTTATTGAGCTTTAAAACAAATGAATAACGACTCTATATAATAAAACACGGAGGACGGAGATCTCTTTTTCTCCCCCTCTTCTGACAGCCCAGCAGCTGATCAGAGCACGTCTCCCCTCTCCTGCAGGGGGGCGTGGTCAGCAGAATCAGACCCGTAGACAGCAAACAGCACATAGAGCGAAATGAGGCATGGCTAAAATGCATGATCTGTTTGGTATTTTGAAAACAGAAACGTATAAATATACCTTATATAGGTATGGCCCTACAATATATCATTTAAATATAGCATGATAGGTTTCCTTTAAAGAATACAACTTTAAAATTATCTTTCGAGACATGACAGTATAATATGTGAATGTCCTCACCTTGAGTCCTCTTCCGTCTGATGACAGCCACAGTGATTATTGTGAGTGCTGCAACACCCACTATCACTACGATGATCCACCACCACCAACCTGGAAGAGAGAAGTTACAAGAGTTACATATACCCAGAGGTTTGTATCTCCTTATCTTTAACATCTGGATCAACAACATGTATTTTGGCTACGTTTATTTTCTAACTGTTGATATCTCTGTTCTTTCACTACCTGGATGTTTCCCGTCTTGTTCTGATTGATTGTTGTTGTTTTCAGATGCAGTTTTGGTCGTCTCTTCTGATGTGCTCATTGTCTCTTGTTCTGATGTAGTTGTCATTTCATCATTACCTTAACAAATACAATAGAAAAATCATAGAATTCTCTTATAGTAAAACTTTAGATACAAATAATATATATTGTGTAACATCCACATGTGTTTTTAAACAGTTGATCTTAACCTCACCTGGGGGCTGAGGGGGGCTGAAGGTGAACAGCTGTTTTTCTTCATAGTTAGTGTTCATCACCTGACATTTAAACAACCCAGGATAGATTGGCTTCTCCTTTGAAGAGCTAGAAAATGTAACGGCAACTGAGCAGTCAGTCCGTGATGTCTGAATGTCTTTGTTATCTTTAACCACATTTTGATCCCCATACATCCACTCTACTGTGTGTCTACACCATAGATATGACTTCACAGAGCAGTGTGACGTCACCTTATCTTTGTCCCGATGCTCAGTCACTGAAGATAGAGATATTGTGAGAGAAAGACAACAAGAGTAACATTCACTTCATCGCTGTAATCATTATTATTGTAATGTTTCAAGAAATTGTTTCAACAAGACTGTTATGATGTAAATACTCACTGGTAACAACAGACAGATCAACCAGAGAGTCTGAACCTTGTTTTCCTGATCTGAACTGTCTGCAGGTGTAATAACCAGCATCCTCCTCTGTGACCTTCTTTATAACCAGAGAACATTTCTCTGTTACTCTCAGTCCGTCTGCTTTAGCTTCGGCATCGTTGAGAATCTGCCCGCCTTCAAACAGCGTCACTGCTGGTGTGTTTGGTGCATAATAGAAGAGCCAGGTAGTACTGTCACACTTATCCTGATCATGTATCACATTTTCAAAAGGCAAAGTGACTTCATCTCCAACTCTGACAATGCGGGAGTAACCTATACTTTCTGCACCTGTTGGAGAAAAGAGTGATGATCTTTTTAGATACGGACGCTTTTCGAATTCGTCTCTATGTTGGTTTGAGTATCCAAGAGTTCACTAAAGTCACCACGTTACAAACACAACTCATCATTCTCAGTTAAAGGAACAGTACGTAGTAAAGTACCGTTAGTGATATTAAAGCTGTTTTATTTAAAGTGTGTTTTCTGCATCCTCACCTGTAAAGTGGAGCAGCAGCATCAGGAAGGAAGACATTATGATCCTTCTGAATGCAGACATCGTGCTTCTCTCTCGGTCTCTGGCTCTCGACTGTCAGAGTCTCTGACCTGTTGCTTCTTTATTTCTCTTCTGAGAACTGAAGGGGAAGTGTTTCTGTGAGAATGTGGTTAACATCAGCAGCAGAGCTCTGGAGGTGTTACCCTCTGATGCTGACCAGATAAGATCAAAAAGCAGAACCGTGCAGAGTGATGTACATAAAGTAATGAATATATATATACACAATTACAAATAAACAACAGGAGGTGGATATGAATATACCTTAATGTATAAATGAATATGCAGTCATAACAAAAGGCAGTGTTGTTGATCAGTGGAGTCACTAGTGAAACTGTGTACTTTAAGAACACACCTGATGTTTAGAGAATGTCATATTAGGAAAAACCATACCAATAAATACATCTGCACTCTTGTAAGGCTAATAGATCACTTTATTTAGTAAAGTACAAAACAGTCAAATGTACTGAAGAAAAAGCAATACTCCATTGATTTATAATAGCCGCGTTCACACCGGAGTACTTTCACCGTACTTTTCGCGTTTTAGTTCCGTGAGTACCCCTTATGTCGCGTTCACACCAAAAATCGTACTTAATCTCGGGTACTTTTACCCCCATTTTTAGAGCCGGCTGAGAGAGCGTACTTTCCTGAGGGTGCAAAGTGCCCCAAAAGTGCCCCAGTGCTGATTGGCTGGGCGAATTGCAAACCACGCCCGTACAACTGTGAAAAATGTTCTGTGGAGACGCCATTGTTTTCCCTCGCTACAAAATCCCGACGGAGCGTTGGGTTTGTTTTTGAAAGCAGTTATGGCAAGGATCAAGAAATGATGAGGAGGTGTCGGCGCTTCTGGAGATCTACGCCGAGGACGCGACCCAGGGAATGCACTGAAGCCAGTTCAGTAGCTTTCACTCGACCTGGGAATGTGCACAGCCCCACGGCACACACCGGCTAAAAATAAAGAAACTCGGGCAGGACTACAACGGCGGATTCAGTGGCCAACGATGACGACCACGACGAAGGTAAAATCAACTACATGCACTGGGGTTTTAATCTGCACAAAAATGGTCTCAGATGTACTTTTATTTGCTCAGTAGATCAAGCTAGCCATGCTAGGCGGAATAGGCTAACACCGGCCCCGAGCTAGCTACATCTAGCTAGCTAGATATTCTCGGCTGTATGAAAACGTTTTGACTTGTGAATAACTGTGCAGTGTTTCTGTAATTTGCTTCACTAACTCATGGCACTAATCGTCTGTTTCAGGCGAGGATGGACAACTCTCGGGATTGGAAACAAGCGAGCTTTGCATTCTAGATCACAGCGCTAGCTCGCCCCCCTTACCAGCAACCAAACGCAAAGGTACACACACTGTAACTTTGTCTTGAAAGAACGTTACGCATCGAACTGATGTTCACAATCATGTTTATTTCCTTCTTGGTACAATTATGAAACAGCGTGAAAACGTATTCGCCAAGACCGGCATTTACAAATGTCTCACACAAACATTGTAAACATCAGGGCTAGAGGTCACATGACTTCCGGTACGAAAACTTGCCTCAACAAATTAAACAAAATTCAAGCATACATGAAGCACAATCCTCCGTGTTTGAACCTCTTAAATCGCTGCATAGCCGATTTATTTGGACTGGATTATCCCAGAGAGGCTAAACATTCTTTATAACACAGTTTGAGATTTGTGAAACCTTAATTCTATTGTGAAAATACAAAAAAGGGAGATTTCAGTGCTTTTTCGCATCCTGGCCACATTAGACCAGGTCCTGATCTAAAACCACTATACCTAGACTCATCAAATCTGGACTGGATTATCCCAGAGAGGCTAAACATTCTTTATAACACAGTTTCAGATTTGTGAAACCTTAATTCTATTTGTGAAAATACCAAAAAAACATTCCTAGTATGTTGTAAAACTACATGGCGACTAAACAGATCTTGTATCTTGCTTATTTTCCCCTCATAGGAAAGCGGACACGGGATGCGAA